TTCTACAAACATTTGTAAAGTACTTCTGTGTGCAAAGCACTGTGCTGGGCAATGGAGGAAACAGATGTTCCTACAAACATGAGCTAAAGCAATGAAGGCGAGGACGGCAGCGCATGAAGTTTGGATGTTGAAAGTCAGGCCTCAGTGAGTCAGCAGATGAGGTGGAGTCACTGGGCATGAGAGCCTAGATGGCCTGGGCCTAGATGCTGCCTGAGTGGAGCATCTGAATCAGGTCAAGGGAATGGAGCCCATCAGCTCTCCTCCCCCCACACGCCAATCAATGAATCATGAACTGCTGGAGCTGGCTGGGCCCTCAGAGCCCCACCCGGGCCTACGTTACTCCCCCTCTCATTTCTTTGCCTTTGCCCTGGCTTGTCCTCATGCCCCTCACCGCCACCTCCAAGTTTCTGGGGAGCAGAATCTTGGGCCCCGCTCTCCTAGGCCTGCCTCCCATCACACAATTCTAGTACACTTAAGGTTTCAGTGGCGCACAGGTCTAGTGAGAATTGGCTGCCCAAATTCTCCAGCAAGCTTGTGGTGTGGCTTAGTTATAACTCCACTTTCCTCATCCTGAGTAGACCTTTCTGGTCAATTTTTAGAGATCCCGCTTTTGTTAATGATCCACGCCCCTTGCCTCCCTCACCCAACCTCAGACTCTGTCTGAGAATCCTATGTGAACCCAGCCTGCGGGGCTCTGGCCCGCCACTGGAGAGCACAGGCCCACTGTTTGTCCCAGCTAGCATGCTGTCTCACGGGATGGGTGGGGAAGGAAAGCCGCATTCCTAACGTGGGCTGCTTGTATCAACGTTCTAACCCATCCCAGTGCTGCTGCTCGCTTCTGTGAAGACCCAGCTCAAATACCACCTCTAGCTAGAGACTCCTCCTGGTCCCTGCAGCTGCAAAGGCCTTCCCCTTTCATATTACCTTCATCTACACTGCACAGATCTTGTATGTGCCTAGTTACTTACATGCTGTCTCGTCCATCTGAATGGAGTTACCTGAGAGCAGGGATTGATTTTTGTCTTTCTTTTTATCTCCAGCAAATTTTTTTAGCGCAGTACCTGGCACAAAGTAAGCACTTAATAGTAAGTGCACATAGCAAGCTTGACGGCTGATTAATCTCCTTTCCATGTGATCTAGGCCAGATTCTAGGCCTCCAAAAAGCTCCTGAAGGTCACTGGCACACTCTGGTAGATCAGTATCCACTCAGAACCAAATTTCATGAGTCCCCACCAAGGTTCCTTTCTCTAGACCAACCAAACTACTAGTTAAAGCAAAATAGTAATAATAAAGCAAAATAAATGACGAGAAAAGTCCACCTCCCTTCACATACATGCAGGGGTAAAATCTCTCAAAGCAAACCACTTCTCTGATTTCCTGTCATAAGGTATGGTACACAGAAGAGTGGTGAGTCTGGGGGACGGGGCATTATCTAGTCTGCTACTGGCACAAGCTCCCACAAACTGTGTTCCCTCACTTTGAGGGGCCCTTGGCACCCTAGTTCTCTTTAACCACTTAAAAATTAGTTTTACAAAGGAATATGACCTTTCTTTTAAACCACATACTATTTGATCTCGCTTCACCAAGACATGGAGGGAGTGTAAAATCATATAGTTCCTACCAAGCTGAAGAGTTCAAAAATGTAGGCCCAGATGACCAAGGGAGAAACAGCATAGGTAAGTTTGGAGAGCCTCATCAGTTTCCTCAACTATAAAATGGGGATAATAACAGTGCCTTAAGTCTCAGGGTTGCTGGGAGGATAGAATCTTTGCAAATCACTTCACAAAACTGAAAGCACCCTATAAATGCTTTTACCATCACCATCACCAGAACGTTGGACAACGAACTCGTGGGCACCATCCATGGAGCATAGAAGGCTTGCCCTCTGCATCATGGTAGATGAACTCACTGATATGATCATGGGTCCTGGAGATGTATTGAAGTTTGAGGGCACACTGATGAAGCCAAGCTGGGAGGTCTGGCTAACACACTGGCCAACCTTTGATAGAATGGAAGCTCCTCGAGGGCAGGGGCTGCTTCACCTTTTGTCTTTGTATCCCAGCACCTAGCCCCATGCTTTGTCCAAAGAAGGGACTCGATAAATGCTTACTGATTGACCATGACAGTCAGAACTCAAAAAGATCTTCACAGACTAGAACATCAAAAAGGAAGAAGGAATTCAAGAGACAAATGTAGTCTGACTCTTAGGCCCAAAACTCTTCCCAAGTATATGGGGAAAGCATAGGCAGACAGCAAAATGTGCCAGCTGGAAGGAACCTCAGCACAGCCTGGCTGGAGCCAGATTGGACAGGGCTTTTAAATGCAAATAGATGAGTTGGTGTTTATCCTCCAGGGAGTCACTAAAGCTTTTGCAGCAGGGGAGTAAGACCAGAGCTTCAGAGACATCCATTTGACAGCCATGTGGATCACGGATTGGAGTTGGAAGAGACAGTGCAGGAAGACTGACTGGGAGATGCCTGCAATATTATGTAGGTGAGAATTAATGAGGGATTGTGTCATGATGAGTGGGTGAGTGGAGAGGAGACGGTACAGAGGCAAACTGAGGATCACGTCAAGAAAAACTTCCTAACAATCAGAGCCCCACAAAGGTAAAGAGGCTGCCTCTGCAAAGAATGCCCTTTCCTTCATTAGAGGCGTTCAAGCAAAGGATGGATGCCCATTTGGTGGGGACATGGTGGAGGGGGCACTTGTTCAGTCAGGGGTTTTGCTATGGGGCCAACATCCCTTATTAACAATCTGAAATCTGGCTCTCTGAGGAATTTATTTTCTCTGCTGCTTATGTCTGCTCACAAGAACAAAATGAAAATAATACTAACAAGATTACATGAAAAAGAGCAACCCTCAATTTTTATCCCTTTTAGACAGAACACAGCAAAGGCAGATAGATGGTGTAATGTATAGAGTGCTGGAGTTAGCATCAGGAAGACTTGAGTTCAAATCTTGCTCAGCCACTTAACTAGCTATGTGACCCTGGGCAAAGATCAGTTTGCCTCAGTTTCCTCAACTGCAAAATGAAGATAATAAGTGTTTAGTTGTGTCTGACTCTTTGTGACCATAGCACGCCAATATTGTCCGGGAGATTTTCCTGACAAAGACTGGAGTGGTTGGCTATTTCGTCTCCAGTGTATTAAAGTCGTTGCTGTTTGTCCTTTGTTGTTGAAGAGGACCATGACATTAGGAAGGTGATGCCACGACATGCAAGTGAATTGGATTTAAGTGAGGGAGGGATGTGCAAAGTCACCAGCCTCACTCTTTCCTCTGGAGCTGAGTCCAGTAGCAACATATAGATCAGGACGACCGCAGATGGCCCTGGATGCAGCGGGGGGAAAAGGATTAAGGCAAACAGAAGTTAAGTGACTTGCTCAGGGTCACACAGTTAGTAAGTGTCTGAGTTTGCATTTGAACTCAGGTCTTCCTGACTCCAGGCCCAGCACTCTATCTACTATGCCACCTCGTTGCCCAGGAAGTTAGGACAGGGAACTAATTTTGGAGGGATACAGAGGAATTATTTCTGATTGTTCATCTATTGGCTGTTAGTCCTAACAAACACTTTAGCCTAAACTGTCTCCCAGTGACTCAGCCAAGCAGGTGATGAGCTATAGTCAAACATTTAAAAATCTCCCTTAGTGAGTACATGGGAAGGAATTCCTTAGTAAAGAGAATTCTTTTGTAATGGGAATAATTACTCCTAACTACGGAGGCAGCAGGATGTAGTGGAAGGAGAACTAGATTTGGAATCAGAAGACTATGGCTGAATGCTACTGGTATAACCCTGGGCAAGTCACTTACTCAGGCCTAAGGTTCCAAAACCGAGGGGTTGGGATTAGATGACCCTCAAAGGCCGCTCATAGTTCTAAATCTCATAATTTTTGTACATCGGATCCGGAAAGGATGCAATTCATATACTCTAAGACATAAATCGGCTTGGCCTTTCTATTATATTTAGATGTTCTACACATTTGGACCTAGGTAAAAAACCATCGGGGGAGCTAGATAGCACACTGGATAGAGTGCTGGGCCTAGAGTCTGGACGACCTGAGTTCACATTTATTAGCTATATGACCCTCAATAAGTCACTTAACCCTACTGGCCTCAGTTTCCACAAATGTAAACTCTTCTGCCAATCTGGACAAATTAGTTGAACTTATATCTGTATAGTAATATTCCAACTCATGTATACATTTAAGCAACTGTCTGAAATGATGCTGAGAAATGATGAATTTGACAACTCCATAGTTTCATGCAATATTGCATTACTATACTGCTTTTCCTCTTAGATTGTAATAATAATGATAGCTACATTTATATGGGGCTTACTCTGTGCCAGGCACTGTGCTAAGCACTTTACCAACAGTATCTCATTTGATCCTCACAACAACTCAGGGATGTAGGTGCTATTATTATCATCCCTATTTTACAGATAAAGAAACTAGGGCAGATAGAGGTTAAATGACTTGCCCAACGTCACACAGCTAGTAAGAGTGTGAGACTAGATTTTAACTCACATCTTCCTGACTCCAGGCCCAGCGCTCTATCTACTGTACCACGTAGCTGCCTCAATTTATTCTGTCTCTATCCTGTTTGTACGTAGTTGTTCGCATGTTTTCTTTCCCACTAGACTGGAAGCAGGGACTGTTTTTGTTCTGTTTTGTTTTTTGCCTTTTTTTGGTGGGGGGGTATGTACAGAGCTTAGCACAGTGCCTGGAACATAGTGTTTAATAAATGCTTGTTGACCGATCTGAACGCATTAAATTAAGACTGTCAAACAACCTCTGGCTTCATTTAAAAAATTAAGCTCCTCCTGATACCATTGTCTTATATGTGATTTTTCTTTCCCGAATCATAAAGTGCTTTTGAAAAAAATGTTTACAATAACTTTGAGGCAGGGAAAAGGAAGTAAGTAACCCAATTTTGAAAAAGAAGAAATTGAGGCACACAGTAAATAAGACAAGAGATGTAGAGATACAACTTAGGAGTCATGATTTATTATATAGGTCTCCCATTTGGCACCTGATCAAAGTTTTTTGCCTTTTTTTAAAGATGTTTTAAAAATGTACCTAATTCTAAGAATGGATTCAAACAGATGTTAGTTTTATGCAAAATAAAAAGGCTCATTATATAATGATTTAAAAGATTCTCATCTTAACCACATCTTCAAATAGCTATTTCCACTGAATAACCTTGGTAAAAACATTGCAAATCTTTTACGTCTGATTCTAATAGTTTTTTCTCCTTTTGCTTAGTACAATTTGAAAAACTGGTAATGTTGCTCTGTGCGTGGATAATAGCCTTCGTCCGGCTGGAAAGGATGGACTCCTTGAGGCTTCCCACTGGCAGCTTCAGTCACATATTAGAACGAGTTAGCCAGTGAAAATCCTAGGAAAAGAGAGGAATGGTTAGGCCAGTAGAAACTCAGTCATGAGCACGTCATCCAGGTAGGAAATATTTGTCATAGGCTGTCCCTTCACTGCCTCGTCTGCTCTAACTGTCCCATTTTGGCCAGAATGAAGAAGGTGGGATAGCCTTGTACGTTTCCTTCGCTTCCTTAAACAAACATATCATTTCAAAGCTGTGGACATCCCCTCATCGGATTAGACTCTCAATACTGCCACACCTTAGAAGATAGTCTTTATGAGTTGCTGTGGCCCAAAACAGAACAAACCCATCATCTGGTGGTCAACCCATCAAGCTGATGTTGGACCTCAGGCACAAAGCACCTCACTGGGGCCATGCTCAGTCAGTAAGCATTTATTAAGTGCCTACTATATACCAGGCCACTGTGTTAAGTATTGGGGATACAAAAAGAGGTAAAAGACAGTCTCTGCCCCCAAGGAGCTCACAATCTAATGGGGAAGACAACAAATATGCCCGAGTAGGTTATGGACAGGATAAATAGAAATAGTTAAGAGAGGGAAGACACTAGAATTAAGAGGGATTAGGGAAGGCTTTCTGGGGAAGGTGGGATTTTAGCCAGAACTGAGGGAAGCCAAGGAGGTCAGTGGTGAGAGCAGAGGAGAGGGAGTGTTCCAGCCATAAGCGACAGCCAGAGAAAGTACCCAGGCTCAGATTCTTAAGATCTAGCCTGCTTGCATCAGTAATACAAATGCTTAGATTCCTTAAGAGTCTGGTCAATATGGTGGATTCTTTAAATTTCCCACTCCTGATTGATGTTCTAATAAACCTTGTCTTTGGCTGAAAGAAGGCTTGGGTCAAATTCATTTGGGCAGGACTCATGTGTCATGATTTTGGGATCCCAGCACCCCTAAACCTCTAACCCTCAACAGCCTTACTGCTAAAAACTAACGTATGACATAACTAAAATTTCCCATGAAGGGTTGTAGAAAAGGCAGCTCACCAAACTGTTTCTGTTCTGGCTGCCATGTCAATGGGAGTACATTTAAATTAAGCCTATGGCCTACCTAGGTGAGCCAAATCTCAGCTTCTAGCCTGCTTCTCCAGTCAGTAATTCAGTAAATAAGCATTTGTTAAGTGTCTACTATATGCCAAACATCATGCAATACACTGTAGACACAAAGGGGAAAAAAAAGACATTCCTTGCTCTCGAGGAGCTCACAATCTAATGGAAGTGATATGAAAGAGTCATGACGGGAGAGAAAAGGCAAGAAGTTGTCTGAGCTCTCCCCAGTTTCCCTCAAAACAACTTTAAATCAAGCTTCAAAATGAATTCTAGAGTGACAGAACCCACAGATGGATGAGGTGAAACAATTTTTCAGCACAAGATGACTTAAGAGGACTACAAGAAAGGACTGTCTCACTCGGTGTGGGTGGGGTCCAGGCAAGCCAGTGGGAAGCGTCTTGTCCCAGTACAGATCAGCAAGTAAGGGCTTGGGTCCTGGCTCAGCAGGCCAGTTGTGAGGCCTCTAGCTCTCGCACAGCAGGCAAGCTTCCAGTTCCAGAACCCCCTGTACAATAGGTGAGATAAGGCCTGGTAACCCCAGTGCAGTTGGGAAAACCACCAGGCCTAGAGGCTCCAGAGCGGCAAGCCAATCCCTGGCCCACAGAGCAAGAAGCTTGGGCCAGCAACCCCTGGTGCCCCAGGAGCAGGGCTCAACTTTAAAAGTCATGAAACAGGATGAAAAAAGAACAAAAAAAAGCCATGGAAAACCACAATGGTGACAAGATTGATCAAAACAAAACTCAGAAGATGACAACAATATCCAAACACCTACATGCAAAGCCTCAAAGAGAAATATAAGTTGGTCTCAAGCCCAAAAGTCTTCCTGAAAGAGCTAAAAAAAGATTTTAAATTTCAAATAAGAGAAGTAGAAGAAAAATTGGGGAAAGAAATGAGAGTTAGGCAAGAGAATTATGAAAAAAGAGATGGCAGCTTGGAAAAGAAAGGACAAAAATCACTGAAGAAAATAACTCCTTAAAAAGTAGAATGGTGGCGCAGCGGATAGAGCACCATCCCCGAAGTCAGGAGGACCTGAGTTCAAATTCAGTCTCAGACCGAACACTTGACACCTACTAGCTGTGTGACCCTGCGCAATTCACTTAACCCCAATTGCCTTAAAAAAAAAAAAAGTAGAATGGTACAAATGGAAAAGGAGGTAGAAAAGCTAACTGAAGAAAATAATTCCTTAAAATTTGAATTGGAGAAGTGGAAGCTAATGACTCTATGAGACATCAAGAATCAACTAAACAAAATAAAAAAACATGAAAAAATGAAAAATAAAAAGGAAGAAAATGTAAACTACTTCATTAGAAAAACAACTGACTGGGAAAATATAGATCCAGTGGAGATAATTTAAGAAACTTTCTGGTACTGGTGAACAAATAGAAAGGTAGATCAATGGAAAGAGTAGACATACTATTTATAGCAGCAAATAAATATAGTAACCTTGTATTTGACAAGTGTAAAGACTTAAGATCTGGGGACAAATTATTTGGTAAAATAATATAGTAATAAAAAAAAGACAGTACCCAGAGTCAAGAGACTGAGTGTCTTGTTTTTTGAACAGCCAGGATGCCAGTGTCACTGGGCTTCATGAAGAAGACATGTGGGAAGGACAGGAGTTGGTGGATAAGGTATAAGACAACTGGAAAGGTAGGAGGGGGCTGAATGCCCATTACAGCATTTTGTACTTGCTCCTGGAGATAAGAAGGAGCCATAAGAGTCTACTGAATTGGGGGGGGAAGGGGGAGATGACACAACTTGACTTCCATTTTAGGAAAACCACTTGAGTGGCTGAAGGGAGGACAGATTAGAGGCTGATTCACCAGCAGTTTATTGCAATAGTTCAGACATGAGAAGATGAGGGTGTGCACTAGGGTGGTCAGTGCTCAAAGCATGGCCTGCTTGGTAGGACATGCCAGAGTTCATATTTGGCTGATGTAAAACCCCTATCAAGTCACAATGAGACACTGGAGCAGGACTTCAGTGCAAGAACTAAAATATAACTTTTAGAAGTCATTCAAATAAGGACTGGTAGGCCACATGGCTTGATTCTCTACAACTTCCCAGGATATTTTTCTAGATCCTTCTCCATTAGCTATAGTTCTTGGAGGGAGATCAAAGGTTCCAAAGCCATTTGAATCCCAATGATAGGTCACAAGATGACTAAGACAAAACAAGTTTAATACCCATTATCAGGGGGAGTCCTTGTACAAAGGGTGGGATGAATTCTCTGTAGGAAATATTCCCAAATAATGTAGATTTTGATACAATTTAGTAATTAAAATAATTAAGCCCTCTTTATAACATCAGGAAACAGTCTGAAAACTTTAATTTCAAAATGTTATGAAAGTATTTTGAAATGAATATAAGTAGAAGGGGATGGTGATCGAACAATCTAGAAAAAAGAAATTTGGCAATATTTCTCTACCAACATTCAAGAGAAAGAGACGGTATTTTAAAGAAAAGTAGATCAGTGGAACAGACTAAGTTGGGGTAGGGAACCTGTGGCCTCAAAGCCACATGTGGCCCTCTCAGTCCTCAAGTGTGGTGGCCCTTTGACTGAATCCAAACTTCACAGAACAAATCCCCTTAATAAAAGAATTTGTTCTGTAAAACCTAGACTCAGTCAAAAGGCCGTACCCAAGGACCTAGAAGGACACATATGGCCTCAAGGCCACAGGTTCCCCACCCCAAGAATCAGAAACAAATGAAGTCAACAACTCAAGAGTTTGATCAAGTCAACAGCATGAATAACTTGGGAGAGAACTCCCTTTTGTCATTTCATTATCATCATTGGAAACATAAAATAACCATTAAAAAGAATAAAAAGTCATTAAAAATGGAAATATTCATAATTACCCTATATAAAGTCCTTTCTCTAAAATGAAAGAAAGAAAGGAGATTATTTTTCCAGTAAAGATGTTTTCTAGAGTTCAGACATGATAACTCAATGCAATCAGAGCAGAGATGGAACTATCCTATAAAACTATTCTCTGGTTGCATGTTTATCAGGTCATCTGATTAGTGGCTTCTCAGGAACCTCTCTACCAGGAAGGGAACTGCTCTGAGCAATGGCCACATATGCTCCCAGTCACTAGAAAAGTATAGTCGATCCTCGTTTGCAAATTTGCCTACTTGCTAAAATTTGTTTGTAACTCCCAAATCAATATTCACGGCCTGTCAGAATCACTTGTTGATAAGCAGAGTGGAAAACAATCTGAGTCGCCCAATACCCATGGTCCCTGTTGAAGCTGAACGAGGCAATGATCTGCTTCTTGTTTCACCTCTCCTACTGTAAACTAGTGTCCTTTACACCATCTATTTAGTGCCATGTTTTTTGCATTTTTATGCTTTTTGTTGACAATTTTGCCATTTAAAATGGCCTCTGCCTAGTGTTCCTAAACTCCAGAAGGATGTGACATGTGTTAGAGAAGCTTAGTCAGGCATTAGTTACAGTGCTGTTGGCTGTCAGTTCAATGTTAATGAATCAACCACTTGTTACATCCATTAAAGGGAAGAGGAAATTTGCCCATTCGTGTGTGAGGCCACTGTTATGGTAAATGCGATGACAGAGGCTCCCAAGAACCTGACCCCGTATTTCCCCTAGGAGCAATCGTCCCATATTCATTATGGTGTTCAGTTTGGTGTTCACAGAGCACAACTACTGTGAATGATGAGAAGCGACCGTCCATGTAATTTACTAGCATTTTGGTTTACAAACCCATCTTTGGGCATTGGCTAGCCTATGTCAGTTCACTTGGTGAAATAAGACAAGCCAAAGATGGGACCGTGGAGGCAGTGCGGCCTCCAGAGGATGGCAATGGTTAAAGGGCATTCTTGTGTCACTCAGCCTCAAAGAGGACACCGGCCCTTAGGGTTCATCACAGCAGCAGCAGCTGTCAGCACTTGTCAGCATCTCTGTTCCCCTCCTCTTACCAGCCTATTGTTATCTTGCTTTCCTTCATCTTCTTCTCTGAACTCCCCTCTGGTTAGGCATACAGCCTCTGATGTTCTTATGGAGATGGAGTCTATGCTATATACCCACGTGGCTGCTATAGGGTGTGCACATGGAAGATCTTCCCTCCAAGATGTAGGGTACAGGCCCCACTCCTAACTTACTAAAAGGAAGAAAGTAATTGGGAGCATAAGGCCAAGGCCAGAAGATGGAGGCTAAGTCTGGAAAAGGTGGAGTGCAGAACTGACAGTTCCAGCAAAGAGAAAAGAGCAGGTAATGCCAATGGAGAGGTAATGCCACTCTGGGCAAATACAAAGGTCAATGTGAGCGTCATATCTCAAAATTAAAGGGCGCTTATCCTTCTGTTATAAATCAACAATAACAATAATAATAGTAATGATAGCAATAACAGCTAACATTTATTCGACACTTTAAGGTTTACAAGTGCTAGAAAGTTCACAAAGTGCTCTACATGTATGGTTTTAAAACGTGTTTCTTTTGAGGGATCTGTTTGGGTATTTGTTAGGAAGCATCATTTGTGTCAAGGCTGCTGTGACGGAGTGGATGCAAAGCTGGCCCCCAGGTCAGAAGGACGTAGACTCCAGTCTCATCTTAGACATGCCTTGGCTGGGCAGCCCTAGACAAGTCACTGAATCTCTCAGTGTCTCAGCAACACTCTAAACAAGAAGTAGCATGCTTCTTGGCTGATCTGCATTGGTAGAGGGAAATTCCTCACTGAGAGTTCCCAATACCAATGAAATAACAGATTTAGTCCAAAAAAAGATCCGGTGTATCAAAACAAAGTATCAATAATTTTTTAAATGGTGAACAAGATGGAGAAGTATGCTATCGGTTTACATGGATTGGAAACAGGAATCAAGTAAACGAAGCAATGAAAACCTACAAAAGCCAGCAGCATTTACTACCCTCCCTATTTGTCTGGCTACTGTTTCTCCTGCCTATACTATCAACCCAGAGGACAACACAACTACAAATTGCTGTAAATCTTAAAAGCAGGGAGATAAAAAGGCAAAACTTCAATTGAATCCATTTCTTAAAGATGTCAACGAGAGTTTTAAAAGCCTCCCAGCCTACTCTCTGCCCCTTTTCTGAGAAGGAAGTCAGTGTTAACTGGAATCACATCAACATGGGAACATTCGGGGGGTGGAAGATGGCAGTCGTTACAGGAAGCACAACAAGACACCTACTGGCCACCATGAAACACCAGCATTGAGACAGAACATGAGCCCAGAGGATCCTCTGCTTGGCGTGTGCCTTCTCTTCCTCACTCACATGGGCAGCACTTACTTGTTCCTTCCGACTGGCTTGAGGCTGAATCATAACGTTGATGAGAGACGGTACTGTTTTCTCAGCTAAGCTTGTTGTCAGAGCATTCTGCAGCTCTCCCGGAGTCTGTACAAAATATCCTTTGCCGCCAAATGCAGTCATGATCTGCTCATAATGGGAATTTGGCAGGAGAGAGACAGGAGGTCCCCTGAAAAAGGAGAGTAAATGGTCACTGATGTTTGCCTTCTCGAGGTATGTTCTGAAATAATTTGTTAAAATGGGATAAAAAAAAAAACAACTTGTGCTTGTACTAGATATAATTCTACAGACTTTTTAAAAGCTTATAAAATAAGTTCATAAAATAAGTCAAATTGCTGAGATAAAAATGCAGAGTAATAAAAAAAAAAGCTAATCAAATAAGGAAACTATCAGGAAGGAGAAGAATTCAAGAAAGTTACTAGAATATTGGTGGGCTATTTAGCCAGAACAGTGAAAAACTGTACATGGCAGAGAATCTTGATAGGAAAGCAAAATTTTTATGAAGGTTTCCGAAAAATTTTGAAACAAAAGGCAATTCCAGCCACCGCCTGAGGAATGTCAACTATTCAACAAAGAGGTGGTAGGCACCACTGTGGAAGTCAGAGTCCAGAAGTCAAACTAATCTGGATCACACTCAACACAAGCTAGAGCAGGAAGTCAAGTCAAGTCTTCCTGATGATTCAAAAGAGGAAAATCCAGTTAGAATGTTAATGAAATTGCCACTGTTTTCTTTGGATATTTTACTTTGTGCGATCCTACTAGCAATATTATAATCCTAGTGGTCATCTTTGTTTTATTCAGTGCTTATTTCAAATTTTGTATACAAATCTAGTAAGTTGATCAAGACTTGGAAGTTAAATACTCATCCTAATTAATGTTATTGCATTGGATTCATTTTTTTTGGAAATGGCAAACCACTCCAGTATCTTTGCCAAGAAATCTCCAAATGGGGGTCATACAGAGTCAGACACGACTGAGATAACTCAACAACAAGGGATTCATTAGACTGGAATATTCCAACCTTTACAAAAAAGAAACAAAAAATAATTCCAATTTTAGAGTACAGCACAGGCCCGGGAATTGGCATACTTGAGTTCCAAGTGTCAGGGGTGCTGGGGATTGTTTTCACTTCTACAGGCCCCAGAGGAAGACTCAAAGCGGAGGGTGTTAGGAAGGAAAATTTTGGCTCAAGAGGTTTTGAAGGTTAATTTTATCTTTTATTTTAACTTAAGATAAGCTTTTATTGATGTCTTTTGTTTTTTATATCATCACAGTTTTCCCTAGTATCATCACTCTCCCTCCCTTTCCCAGAGAGCCACCCCATTTAACAATATTTTTTAGAGACATAAAAAGGAAAAACAGGAAAAAAATCAGTACAACTGATCAATACAATGAAAAACTCCGCAAACTTGCACAATGTGCAAACCCTGGGTACCCCCCACTGTCCCAAAGGGGTGGGTTAGGACCATCCTCTCACATCTCTCCTTTTGTGCTAGACTTGTTCTTTGTCATGTTTCTAACTTCACTTGTGATTTTCTGGTGTGTTTTTCTTTCCATTTACATTGTTGTAATCATTGTGTTTTATTTTCTTGCCTCTTCTTACTTCACTCATACATTCTTTCTTTCTTTTTTTGGAGGCAATTGGGATTAAATGACTTGCTCAGGGCCACACAGCTAGTATCTGAGGCCAAATTTGAACTCAGGTCCTCCTGACTCCAAGGCTAGTGCTCTATCCACCACACCACTTAGCTGCCCCTCATACCTCATTTCTTCTAGTATAGTAATACTCCATGACATTCGTGTCCTATGCTTTGTTTAGCCATTCCCAATTAATGGGCATCTACTTTGTTTCCAATTCTTTGCTATCAGGAAGAAGGTTACTATACATATTTTAGTGTACAAAGGGAATTTCTTCTTATCGATGGCTTTCTTTGAATACATGCCTGTGTGGAATCTTTAGGTCAAAGGGTATGGATATTTTAGTCACTTTATTTTCTAATTCCAAATTGCTTTCCAAAATGGGTGTACCAATTCATAGCTACACCAACAGCGCAGCAGTATGCCTATCTTCCCACAACCCCTCCAACATTGACTGCTGCCATTTTTTAGACAAACGTGCAGCATGTAGGTGAACCTCAGTGTTCATTTGATTTTCATTCCTCTTACTATTAGTAATTTGGAGCACTTTTTCATGTGACTGTGCATACTTTGCAGTTCTTCTTTTGAGAACTGATTGTTCTTATCCTTTGACCATTTGTCTTTTGTTAAATGACTACTGGTCATAATTACCCTCACATACAAGTTATTTATGCAGGTTGGATACCAAACACTTATCACAGAAATCTGACATGAAGATTTTTCCCCCATTCAGCCACTCCCCTTCTTATTAATGTTGTCTGTGCACAAGCTTTTCAGTTCTACATAATCAAAATTACCTATTTTCTCTTTTGTAATTGCCCCTATCTTTCATTTTAGACTATACTCCTGCCCACAGCTGTGAGAGGTATAGGATCTGTTTTTCTTTTATTGCTTTTATACTATGATCTTTAATATTAAGGTCACGTAACCACTAAGAATGTATTGTGAAACGTCACATAAGGTGTTAGTCTAAGCCTAATTTCTATCATATGGCTTTCCAGTTTTCTCAGTTTTGATCAGATAGAGACTTCTTTATTAAGTAACTGATGTTTTTAGTTTTATCCGATCCTATCCTTTGTTTCTGATTCCCCCTTGTCTAGCCTGTTCCACTCATCTACCTTTCTAATTTTTAACCAGGATAAGATGGTTTTGATGGCTGTGCTTTATAAGGTAGTTTGAAGTCTAGAAGTGCTAATTCCCCTTCATCCCTACTTCTTTCCCCTTGAAATTCTAGATCTTTTTTTAAAAAATGAATTTTGCTATCATTTTATTAAGTTCTATAAAGTATTTCTATAATATTTTGATTGGCATAGCATTAAAAGTATAAATTAACTTTGGTAATATTATCATTTTTATTATGTTGGCCCTTCAGTTTAAATGTTTTTAAATTTAAAGTAGCTTGGAGCCTTCTGGACTTTCCCAAACAATAAAAGTCTCGGTCCTGGTCTGCAAGACATAAACTTCTGAAAACTGTAAATTATTTTAGTTCAGCCATTGGAAATTCATACCAATTAATGCACTTCACAATTTGATTCCTGTGATATTTGGTGAATGAGGAAGAGGATGAGGGAGATGAGGCAGTTGTGGTGGAGGCAGTTAACCAAGACAACAGAAATACCCCGAAGTACACTTGTCTTCATAGAGTGGGGCATCCTAAACTAGGCCTGCTCCTACCAGAGCAGACCTGTGTTGGCAGCATTCATGTGAAATACCACTAACTAAAGTCTATATGCATTTTAAAGCCAACTGGTTCTAGACAATTGTCAATTGTATGCATTAAATGGAAAGAAATGTAGATAGGGTAACTTAACTGATAATTTCACATCATTCACGTTTAGTTTTAGAACACAATACAAAATGCACCTACGTACACACATACACAAATTCAACACGTCCCCTTCCACAGTCAGGGAGGATGATGCTGTCTTAATCTGCCCCTACATCAGTAGGCCAGGCCTCAGTAAAGCAGTAGAGGGAAGGAAGCCCCAGGCCATTACAGATGATGTACAAAACATAAGATCACACTCCTAAGTGGCCTGCTGCACCAGATCAGGACCCCTAATGGCTAGATTCCACTGAGTTGAACAGCAATCTTATATTTAAAATGGTTTGATACTATTTCTTTTCACTTACGAGATTTAGACAATTTATTGCCTTATTTGAACTTGACAAAGACTTTAGGTTCTAATAAAACACTAATTAATCCCTCTCAACAGTGGATAGCATTTCATGAAGAACTATATCGACATCATCCTTGCCCTTTAGAGGAGGTAACAGGCGAGAACTTATAATTACATTTATTACATAGACTGTACAAAAACATTTTAAAATAATTTAAAAACGAAACCAATATGGAAATGGAAAATATACTAGGGCTCTTAAAATCTGTTTCTCAGTGAGTCTAAGAGTCCAAGTTTTATGATACTCACACTTGGGAAATTTCTCCAAGTTTTGTTAACTCTTTCCAGGTTTCTGCATCAAAGCCTTGATAAATTCCATTGTTGTTCACCACAATGAGAAGGATTGGCAAATTATGCCTGAAACAAATGAGAGGAAACAGATTGAGTGGCCTGGGTTCAAATCACGTTCTTACGTTTACTATGCCTGTGTGACCCCAGACAAGCCACTTAATCTTCCTAGGCCTCAGTCTCCCTACCTACAAAGTGCAGTTGGACCAGATGACCATGTGCCTTTCAGCCCCAGAGCTACAATCCTAGGAAGTAAGGCTTTCATAATTCTAAAGTACTTTACTGTATTTAGGAAGGAATTTTCACACAATGATAGATACAGCTGTCTCCATCTATTTTTGTGCAGAAATCAGGTATTATAAGTTGAATGATCTCCACTACAGCCCTCCCCACCCCTAATGCCTCATCATGGCGCAGAGATGGACGACCTTGGATCTTCAAAGGCTAGGTCAGGACAGCACAAGCTCAGGGAGGATCTGCCATGCTGGAAGAAAAGCTGTGAGTGCAGACATGGCGACATCCCCCATCTGTCTTCTAAGGAGCAGCCTAGACAAGTTCTGAGAGGCCCTTTATCAGGCTGGCCACCAGGTGAGGGGTCTTGTGGCTACAGGAACCTTCAAAGACAGTCTCCTAAGAAAGTCTTAGAGAGTATGCAGAGGGAGCACCTGAACCCATGAAATCACAGATTCTAGAATTGCTGGAGCACTGGCCCAACAAACAGTTAATTAAAGCAACAAGTATTTGATGAATGGCTCCCACTTGCTAGTTCTGTGCATGCCGGTATAGAGGGAAAAAGAGAGGCTTCCCTACCCTTAAAGTGCTTTACAGTCTGGCTAAAAAACCAAAGAAATAGACACATTAAGAAATCAAGGAAACCAAGACAATATAGTTATGACAAAAAAAACAAGCCCAGATGAAATCTCATTAAATTGTTCTAGTCATCTAGGAGGAATAAAACACAAGAATTCCATCGTCTGTGCACATATTTTCTGGAGTCAAGTTTATTTATAGCTAGGCAGTGAGTCTTTATAAAGCTGTGGTATTTGCTGTCACATCTGTTTTCTGGAATCCTCTAACATTTCTCAGTTTGCTCAAACATCCAGGCATCCTAACAAGGGACTGGTAGTTACCCTAGGAAGCTCAACCTAACATTTAGACAAGAACTAATTTTTAAAGATGTGAAATGCTCATGGTGTCTCTTTGAAACTTCAAAGTTTGACATACTAAAACTTCAAAAAATCATTAAATACATAAATTAACACTCACTGTTAAGACTCTGAAAGGAATTGTGAACAGATGAGATGTGGATTTATAAAATAATCCTATGCAGCCTCAGTCTGGTTATAAACTATGTTCTATAATCAAATGGGAACTTTCCAGAAATGAAAATGGCAGACAATAAAAAAATGAATAAATAACCACTGGGCTGTGGACACCTAAAAGGCCATAAAATTATTACAAGTGGCCTGTACATGCATAAAAAAAGCAAAGATACATTCTTCCCCCACACCCAAGGCAACTGGAGTTAAGTGTCTTGCCCAGGGTCACACAGCTAGTAAGAGTAAAGTATCTGAGGCCAAATTTGAACTCGTGTCCTTTTGACTCCAGGGCTAATGCTCTATTCACTGTGCCACCTACTGCCCCTAAACATACCTTCTTTACACTGAATAATGATTTTCTGAAATCACACTTGTGATTATTAAAATGCCAATCCAATTAAAAGTGAAAAAACCAACATTTTAGAAAAAAGTTAACACATTTTTTTAAGTTTGCAAAGCCCTTCTACATATACTATCTGATTTGAAATAATGATGATTACTTAAATTTGAGTCCTATAGGACTGGAAGGAAAGCCTGTCCCTAAAGGAGAAGGCAAGCTGTGATTCTGTGAGCATTTTTGCGAGCGACGAGCACTCTTCAAAGAGCCACCATGTTGGATACATTCAAAAGTAAAGTGATCCCAGACAAGGCCTTGGGATGACTTTGTCAGTGGCATTACGATTTAGGAACCGTACTGTCAGGATCTTTATAGATTTTTTTTGTAGCATGTGATAAAGTAGCAGCTAGTACGTCTACACACACATTTATTCTTCATATGTAGGAAAAACTGAAATGCCGCATTTTTACCTGCAGATAGTTTCCACCTCCATGCCAGAGAATCCAAAAGCACTGTCTCCTTCCACGCAGACCACACGTTTTTCTGGATTTTTATCTTTAGCCACCACAGCAGCAGCGATAGCAAAGCCCAAACCGACTCCCATTGTCCCAAAAGTACCAGCATCCAGTCTACGGGGAAAGTGCTCAAATGATTTCCTTCCTCAAAAGAAGAATGAACTCCACAGAACAGTGAGACGACAGAGCCTCACAATCCTTCGGATCTTAGCCAATAAACCACTTGAGACAAATTTTAAAAGTCAGATAAACACATTCCAAATCATTTCAGAAAGGAAGTTACTCTACAATTGTCAAAGATAGTCAATAGACAAAAAATTACAATGTGACTATAACTGTTCAAATTTTAAAATTAACTTTCACACAACGTAGGAAACACATATGCAAAACAAAAAATCAATTTTGATCTTAAATTTAATAAACAGAAGCATAGTCACTGAAACCTTATTTATAGGAATCTTCACATAAAAACACTTTAGTAGGTCAAGATATTGTACAATCATTGGAAGCTTTAGTAATTGTAAGTTAGTTCATCAAATACACATATACACATGCACATAAATAACAGCAGTTATCTTAAAAGAAAATTTTGGTTGTTTACCTATGACGAGGAAGGTAGTTTTGAAGCACAGTCCGTCCAATATCCATAGTATTTGCTCCTTCACTTACTATAATACAGTCTCTTGGTAGCTGTTCTTGGACATGGTAGAATACTGTGTAATAATTCATAGGCAAAGATTTTTGTGATGCTAATTCCTAAAGTCATAGGGGAAATCATTACAGTAGGTTTATTAGTGGAGTAAAGAGTTACGGGAATAAAAAGTCAGTAAAGTATTGAGGGAATTAAAAGTTCATATCTTAGGTAAACTAACTTTGGGGGGATCCTATTAGAGGGATTATTACATGGATAGCAACAAATATGCCTATAAATGGCAGTCAAGAAGGTATTCTGAGAGAACTTACAACTAATTCTTACATTTGGGATTCATGCTTTTGTACATCCCACTCTTAAAATCATTAGTCTTCTTCCAAGTTCAATTCACATCACCTTCTATATGAGGTCTTTCCCCAATTGTTGGATGTCTCCCTCCCTAACAAAATTATTGTGTATTTATGCATTTATTTAGTATATATGCTTAAATATGTATATATTGTCTTCTTCTGTGACAGAAAACTCTATTAGGGCAGGGACCTTTCATTTTCCCCTTTGTTTCCCCACAGTGCCTGGCACACAGGAGGCACTTAATAAATGCTTGTTGACCGATGGAGTCTTATGATACATGCGGGTGTATCTGTAAAGAATAGCACAGTGAGCACAAAGCAGGATAAAAAGAGGGAAAGAACTATTTCATCTCCTTGAACTAGGGTGCTTCCCAGGGAAAAATCTGATTCATGAAAATGTGACAGAAGAAAAACACTGAAGCTACTTATTAATTAATTAGAGAAACTGTCATTGATCAAAAATTTTAGCAGCTGGCATAATAATGAATGAACTTAAAACTCCAGAGCTTATAATAATGGCTGAAGTGTAGTGCTTTATTACTGAATTAGATTCTCACAGCAGTCTGTAAAGTTGTATTATCTACCCCCCTCTACACGTGAGGAAGCTAAGGCTCAAAGAGCTGATGTCATTTCCCCCAAGGCAGAGTTGGTAAGAAGGCACAAGTGGTACTCAGGATTTTGACCCCAAATCTAGCCAGATCTAGCCCAGCCGTCACACCTGAGCGCCACCCAAGGCTTCTCGTTACCTTGGATACTTCTTCATTGCTCTTCATTTTTTCTCTCAGTACCTTCCACCATTCAGCATTAGGAGGATATTGCCATGGCCTTTTGCTGTAATGTTCTAAAAACTAAGAAATAATCTTAAATTAAAATACTAGCATAAAAAGCCTTTTTAGAGGGAATGTATCTCTTTGTTTTAACTTTTTTTAAGGCAATTTTTAAAAAAAAGTTAATTAAAAATTTTTAAAGTTAATCTATAAAATGTGAAAGTTATTCTGTATCAGTAAAGATTCCCTCCAGATAGTGAGATTCTCATAGAATAGGGGATACTGTTCCACATTCCTCCACATTTTCAGACTGGTCCATCAAAAAGTAAAGCATTCCCCAGTTCATCACATACCCTCTAATGGGTAAAGATGGAACTCCACTGCTTCAGTGGAACAGGTTCCTCTAAAATCACCAACAAAAGGAAGGGACCCACACTATTTTCACTATGAGAGCTATTCTGACAAAAGAAGCATGGCTAAACCACCCCTTCTTACATTGAAGTTAAAATGTTGCTCTATAATGTTATATCTCCCACTGGAACAAAAAGGATCAACCACAAAAGGAGAAGAGAATACCAGGATTTGGCCAGTCTCAAATTACAGATGGTAAATCTATATCAATGGATCTTTTTTGCCTAGAGAAATATTGAGAGATCTTCCTAATATCTGTAAATTACATTCCTTTCAAAGTTGTCATATTTTTCAGGATACTAGATGACTAAATAATACTCTTCTTGCACCAGTGGACAAAGAAAAAGAAAGAAAGACAGAGAGAGAGAGAGAGAATTCACAGGTTACCATCAGAGAGAAATCCTAGCTGTAATACTAAGAAATATGGTTGCCAAACTCCAGAGCTCCCAAAGGAAATATAACTGTACTCTTTTTGCTCTTAATTAATATAGTTTCTAGAAATTCCTAACTTACATATAAATGTGGGTATGAGGAGCTCCAATTTCTTATTTCCAAGTGAGTCACATAATTTGGATTTTTAAAAAAACAATAAATATTCAGACTCAATTGACTCAAGAAAGAAAGGTTTTAAAGAACTGAATGTTCTAAAAATGTCCATACAAGTAAGCTAAAACCAAGGTCTTACCTGTGTAGTGACAGCATTTATATCACCTAACAGTGCTGCAGCAGGTTTAACATTATTCCCCAGCTCTTCTGCACAGATATCAACCTACAAAGAGATGCCAAAAGTAGAAAACAAGGCAAATTAGTTCTTTAACAAGTATAATAATTCAATCAGAAAATTTATATTCAGCTCCACGTAATGGATGTCCCAAATTCTTGAAGAAAGCTTTAGGGGGCAACAAGTCCTACTAAAAGTAGCCTCTTGGCAAAATGACAAAAAAAAAAAAAAAGCATGATACAACAATGCAACCTGACCACCGAAGGAGGTCAGTGTGAATGGGGGCTTGGTTTTAAGTCTGCCTTCCTGAACTCTGACACAGATTTTACTTCAGCATCTCCACATTGAGAGTAGTCAATCTGATTATTTCAAAACGGATAGGGAGGAAGTTTGTCATTATTTCTGTACAATTTCTACCTCAACCATAACAAATCAACAACTCACTCCCACTGTCTAGAGATCAGTATTTCATGTGATTGCAACAGCTGGAATACAGATATTAACCCTATGATAAGCAAAAATAGCCTCTGGGTGAGCCCAAACCTTTGCACAACACTGTAATTAAATTCAACTCAACAATTCAATATTTATTAAAAATGTCCTGTATGTCCAGCACCAGGGACACAAAGGCACCAGGTAAAAAAATGAAAACTCCCCAAGGAGTAGAAATAGCATGTATATAGATAAGTAAATGCAAACTACATACAGATTAAATAAAAGTAATTTGGGAGGACAAGAAATCAAACATTTGGGAGGTCGATGAGAAATCTTTGTAGGAGCGGCACTTGAGCTGAATTTATGGATTCCAAGAAGGGAAGATGAGGAGGGAGGACAGCCCCAAGATATTAAGTCATGTATGGGGAAGAACAAAGAGCTCAGTTTGGCTGGAACGAAGAGTCCAGGAAGAGAAGTAATGGGAAATAAGTCTTATAAGATAGGTAGCAACCAGAATGTGACAGGCTTTGAATCATAGCCAGATAAGCTTAGCTTAATTTGATATAAAATTCTAACTGTCAACATGCTTCATTACCTAGTTTAATATGGCAATATAAGGGTGGGGCTGCTAGAAATGGACATACTGACAAATGGCAAGTGCTACTAATTGGGGGGATAGGTTTTCTCATTATTATTATCAACTATAAAGCAGTTTGAAACTGTTTAGGATAGAGGAAAGAGCTCTACGTACCTCAACAGTCCTTGAGTATAATATACTCAATTAATATCCATAATAATGGCCTTGAGTCATCAAGGAAAGGTTAAGTTTTGTACAGCATATAGTATAGAAATGTCTAACATATCTAGAAAGGCAATCATCAAAAGGAATTAAAATTTGAAAAAAAATTAGTGCTTAAAAAAGTAATGTGTTTATTTAGAAAAAATTACTGACATGGATCACATTATTTCCCAGAGGTGCCAGATGAAAGTATTGCTGTAAATTGTAATCTATTTTACTACTTAAAATAATAAACCTCTCACAGGACAAGCAGTTGCTTTCCCCCTTATTTTGTAATTTAGTACATTCGCACAAGCAAATTAGAAGTAGTAGTTTTTGCTCAATCTTGCTTTTGAAAATTAATTAAAAGAAGGAAGCCTATCTCAAAGGCATCTACCAACAACCAGCAGAGATTATAAGAGAGTGCAAGGATTATAACAGAGAGAACTCTCATTTAAATTTCTTTCCTGCTTAGACCTGGATAATCTGCACATCAGCTCGATATCTTGGAGGGAGTCCAAAGTGCAAAATCCAATTTAACCTGGCACCCAGTAACAGGATTACATCAGCATGTTGCAATGCCCTGATAAAAGAATGAAAAGATATAAGATGTGAAAAATATCTTATATTTACAATATGAAAATACTTAAAGTTATTCTCAACTGTTTGGAAAATCTAAACAAATAATTTATCCCTACAGAAATGAGTCTAAAACCTATTTCATCTTGCATTCTAAAAATGTTTAATTAAAATTCATTTATTTATGAAAGTGTCTTTATTGATTACTGCGTTCTAAATAAGGGAACACATAAAAAATATCACAACTGATGTCTGTTATTCTATTTTCTCTGACTTCTTAATCTCTATTGTTACAAAGATCTCTCTATTGATCGATCAATCTATCATCAATCCACCTATCTTTAATTACTAAAGCAATTTAAAGTCTGTTTTGGGCTGAGGAAATGCCCCTGAATTAAGCTTGTGTCATGGAGACATCTATTCACCATCATCAGACCTTATTTCTTAAGTGTCATCCATGACTCACAAAGTTCAGGCTAAGACACTGGTCCTCTACTTACAGATTTTTTCTAACCTATGGGAAGACAACATGATTGCTGTGACCAACAAACAGCCTCCTAATTAAGTTTCCTTCCTGTTGTCAGTGTCTCCTCTACACCATTCAGGCTTCACACCTCTGATTATATCCTGTCACTGGCTTAAACATCTTCAGAGTCCCCTTGGGTACAAATGCCTTGGCCTGGCACACAACGCCCTGGGCAATTTAGGTGCAAGCTATTCTGCACACAAATTCTCACACCAATCCCCCCACGGTCTACGTTCCAGTCAGACTCAGCCCCAGTTCTCACCTGTCTCTAGGCCTTTTCTGAGGATACAAAGACAAAAACAAAGTACTCTTTGTTCTGAAGGACCTTAATGCTGCATTCATTTTCTAATCAGACTACATCTCATTTTATTTTTATATCTCCAGAACACAGCACAATACTCTGCAAATGGTTATTGAATTCAATAACAAATGCATTAAAATTCATTAATTTAGGACAACTTCAAGGTCAGTCTAAAATATAAAAAGCCTAGGTTACAGATTCTATCTTTTGCTCAGTCATGTCAGACTCTCTGTGACCCCATTTGGGGTTTTCTTGGCAGGCATGCTGGAGCGGTTTGTCGTTTCCTTCTCCTTTTTAAAATTTTTTTTTTACCGACAGGGAAGCTGAGGTGAAGTGACTTGCCCAGGATCACACAGTTAGTAAGTGTCTGAGGCCAGACTTGAACTCAGGAAGATGAGTCTTTCTGACTCCAGGCCCAGCGCCTTATCGACTGCACCATCTAGCTGTCTCAGATTATTTCTAGAGAAATACAATTTTATTAATTTCAAGTATACACTAACTACTAATAAAGCTTTCCACATCCAAGTCCTATGAAACCTGATTTAACCGACAGCCAAAAAATGTGGAGACTGCAGTATCTGTTTGTACACAATAGAGCAACGGTTAATTATCTTAAATAGTTTGTCAGTTTGTAATCTAGGTTATAGTATTAATTTGCTTATGAAAAAATCTGAATTAGTAGAATAGTTGTGGCAGCTAGGTGGCACAGTACATAGAGTGCTGGACCTTGAGTTTAAATTTGGCCTCAGACACTCGTTACATGAGCCACTCTGGAAAAGTCACAATCTCTCCTAGCTTCAGTTTCTTCAACTATAAGATGGGAATAACAACAACACCATCTTCAGAGGGTTGTTGTGTGGATAAAGGGAAACCCTTTTCATAAAGTGCTTTGCACAGCTTAAAATTCTATATTAGGGAAACGCTTTTCATAAAGTGCTTTGCACAGCTTAAAATTCTATATTAGGGAAACGCTTTTCATAAAGTGCTTTGCATAGCTTAAAATTCTATTTAAGTGCTAGCTATTATCTTCATCATCATTATCATCATTATTACCATGGCTTTATTGTACGGAGACTAGAAAAAATATGTCACAGGGTTTCACAGCTGGGAAAGACCCTCAACAACCATCTAGTCCAATCCATACCCGAAAAAAAATCCCCTCTAAAGCATGGCTGGCAAATGGTGACTTGGCCTTTGCACGAAGCCATCCATTGAGGGGTCCGCAGCACCTCCCGTGATGGCCCATTCCACTTTCGAATCCCTGTAAAGCTTTTTCTTCTACCCAGCCTACACTGATCTCTTTGCCATTTCTAGGAATTTTTCCTGCTCTGTTCTGGGGACAAGCAAAAACCCATCTCTCTCCTGTCTTCTACAACAGACTTTCAAACACTTGGGAGAGTCAGTTACTACGACTCTCCCAACCCCTGGGTTTTTTCTTTCCAGGCCAAACATCCCCAGGTCTTTCAGCTGATCCTCAGATAATGTAGAAAGTCGAGCTGTAGGTCCACCTGGATGGTTGGCATATGACGCCCAGCTGGGGGATACACAGCAAACATGCTCTAAAAGTTCTTTGCTGTTCTCATTCATGACGTTACCAAATACACTCCATATTAACTTGTTGGTAGGAGAGAGTGGTGACTTATAGCTCACTCAACACGTTTTTTCCTAGGCTTACTTCAATTTCCCTTCCTAAGCACAGTGTGACAGGTTTCATAATAATTGCTAAACGAAGCCTACTTTTCATTATGCATTAGAGTTCAGTTGTAGGGTGTGTCTTAGTGTGATTTCATTGAATGATACTTGATTCAATTTTTTTAATGAATTCTTCCTGGATTCACTAAGGTTACAAAAGCCTACCTGAACTTAAACCAGCTAAACTGACATAAACTGACAACCTGGTGTCCCACAAACCTGGATCTGGCTGCTGCCACACAGTTGGGATGGTTGTCAGGAACAACACCTTTGCCCATGGGTGTGGGCAGAAATGGCAAGCCACACTGGTCCACCAACTTTCTGATGTTGTCTTCAGCATGTGCATAAGCAGCACCTGGAGCAAGAAATATGGGATAAGCTCCTTGGGTAATCTCTGGGTAAATATCTACTGTACAACTTGATGCAGCTCATGGTGAATGACTTGTTTATACCTCCCAGGATGTTTTTCCACTCTCTTGCCCAGGCCAGAAGAGCGGCAGCCACAGAGGTCCTGATCCCCAACCTGATCAGCATGGAAGCTTGAAGCCTCTCCATTTCTGACCTGGGCTGGTTCACGCCACCCTCCATGGGCAATCTGGTGCCCTCCTTTCCTCCTCAATCCCAGGGGCCCATCATATTGATTCTGGACTTAGTACAGACACCATATTAACATAGCTCATAGAGCACAGAACTCCAGAGCTCAAGCAATCCACCAGTACTAGCTTTCCCCAGTAGCAGGGATTACAGGAACGCAATACCACACCTGGCCCTCCTATCTCTATTAAAGCTTCAATCTAAAATTGTTACTATGATTTTGGTTTTATTTTTAAATACCTGAAAAATTACTATTTTACCCTAATTGCCCCCCAACACTATGGATCTTCAAATGTTTTAATGCTTGTATTTTCACTATGTCTAAGCATCTATTATATTCATAGATTCTTTTAGGCATAATTATTTTCCACATATTTCATAGATGAATACAGTACTAATAACTTGGATAAAGAAAACAAATCAATTAATTTTTGTTTTCCCGACCTGTGATTTCCCTGTGAGGAAACCTCCTCTGTGGATGCAGAGCAGCGCCTCTCCTACATCCCATGGTACTGGGCCACCTTCTAAGAGTGAAGTGAAGTGAAGTGACTGCTCACAGTCACGCAGGCATCAGAATAAGGCCAGTTCTCTAGCTACCAGGCCCCAGTGCTGCTCATACTGATGATATTAAATAGATAACACACTGTTGGTAGGTCTAAAAATACTTATTTAGAAAAATTTCTGATTCAGAGAAGCAATTTGTAATCTGTTACTTTGTTCAGTTTCCTGGAAATCTGTCTAAGTGATAATTCCTTAAAAACAAACAAACAAACAAACAAACAAACCTCTTTGAATTCACAGGTAATCCTATAACACAACTAACAAATGTAGTCAATGAATAAAAAATAGTATTATAACTTCCAAAGTCAAAATATTTGGTAAACAAGGAAGGAGGCAGCAAGATGGTGCAGTGGTTAGATCACCAGGCCTGGAGTCAGGATGACCCAAGTTCAAATTCAGCCTCAGACACTTATTAGCTGTGTGACCCTGGGCAAGTCACTTAATCCCTGTTTGCCTCAGTTTCCTCATCTATAAAATGAGCTGGAAAAGGAAACAGAAAACCACTCCAGTATCTTTGCCAAGAAAACTCCAAATGGGATCATGAAGAGTGACTGGAAAAGACTGACCAACAAAGAAAGAAGACTGGAAACTTCCCAATGGGATGCGCATTCTTTCACGTTAATATTAAAGTTCAAATGTCTGTTTCCTTCATTACCTTTTCCTATGATAAGAAGGGGTTGTTTTGCATTCCTGAGGATAGATGCTGCCGCAGATACAGCTGAAGCATCTGCCATGTTAACTGGGGGGGGCATGCAGCACTCCACATACCTGCAAAAGAGAATCTTCACTCGTGTATCAAACAAAACAAAGAAGGTCTTTGGCCATCAAATCCTAACAAGCATGCCATTCTGGCAGATGCCTCTGCACTGAACTGCCCGATGTTAGTGCCATTAAAGGATGAGTTTAAGGTGGGAAAAGGTTAAAGCTGGTCATCATATTTAGAGATAACTTTTATTTATTAAATGAGTGCAATATAAGACCACAGTTGGATTTTAAGTAAAAATCCCCAAAAATAAGTTCGACTAGACCAAGAGAAAGAACTGAAGGTTTTATTCTAAGTTTTGTTCCTAACCACTTCACGCTTAGATTAACAGCATCACCTAAGAGGTAGCAGGGCTGTTTTGTCTGATTCTCCCATGTACAGAAACAGAAACACTCCTTGGTAAATTTGGGACTTAAGGAAGGAAACTAGCCTTTCTTCAGCACCTACCATGTGCCAGGCACTGTGCTAAGTAAGCACTTCATAAATATCTCAGTTGATGCTCACAACAACTCTGTGAGGTAGGTGCTATTATGATCCCTATTTTACAGTTGAGAAAGGAAACTTTAAAGGATTTTTTATTTTTTTTTCAGGTCACTACAGTGTTATTTGATAATTATTTAGACAGGCAAGCCAGCCTTCCTGAAGCAGCATGGCACTCTGAGACAGAATGTTCCAGGCAAGTCAACACTATTATTACTCCACAAGTAAGCCAACCTTGGCTGAATCACCAGGGCATGCTAAGGTAAAGGAGGGAGGCATGTGTGTCACGCAAGTGATGCCACCACTACCTCCCCTCAGGCCCAACTGGAGAGTGCCCAGTTGTTCCCTGAACCCTAAAGTCTTAGGAATAGCAGTGCCTCCCTCGACTCTAAGTCCTGCTTCCAGCCTGGGCCCCTGACATCCTCAATGGGTACAATCACTGTGGAGAAGGGATTCATCTTCCTCACCACCACCAATGCCGAGTGTTGACCAGCTTCCACCGACTGACAGACAGACAAGCCAAGGAGTTCTAGGAGTGGGAGCCCCCACCAGACCAGCAGATCCGCTTCTAGCCTAGCCCTCAGAGTCGCTGTCCTGGGAAGCAATCCCCATAAAGATTAAACCAGGGAGCTGCTTCTGCTGAAGCAGACACAGCTCTGTTGTTGGTTGGTTTGGGTTTTTTAAAAGTTGAAAACAAAAGACAGTTACGTGCTGAAATAGAATTGAACACTTCTGACCCCAAAGCAGGCTCAGATGTGGGATGCTAATTCTTTTTTCTTTCCGTAAACAGCTCTATAGGTGTCTGGGAGTTGTTACAACCCCCTTAAATACATCACACACACATACACACACACAGACACACAGACACACAGACACACACACACGAAAAATATCCTTTCAATGTAACTAGTTTTCTTCATAATCCTCTGTATTTTCTCTGTTTAAAAAACATTATCTTGCAAGGGGGTCCATGAGCCAGCCCCCCTACTCTGTGCCAGGATTAGGTACCAAAGGAAGACTTTGGTGGAGAATGCTAATATTTCACAATGTAAAACAACCCCACCAGTCCTCTGAACTGGTATGTATAACCTATGATCATTGTAAAAAAAATAATTTGTGGAGGATGTGGATAACTCTTTTCTAGCGATAATAAATGAATTAATAAGTGGCTTACTACTGTTCTCCAAATGTTATAGTAGCATCATTTTATTGGGAAAAAAAGAATCAAAATCCTCTTGCTCTTATGTTGAAAGGATCTTTCTAATCAAAAGTTGAATTTGAATAATTTCTATAACCAGAGAATCTCTGAGCAGGAAAAGACAACACACAATCCCTTTTACAGATGAAGGCGATGAACTGGCTGAGCAGTAAGGCGATGTGCCCACGGCCAAGCAGGTGGCACAGCCAGATCTTCAGCTGGAGCCTCTCCTAAGTCCGTGACTTTCTCCACGATTCAATCCTACATTCATCATCAGCTTTACCTAAATCTTTCACAGGCTTAAATTATGACATTTCAAATCACTGATATTATGGCCCATCATCTTCCCACACCAAATGTGAAAAGCTAGCATATAAATACAATACTAAAATGAAGTCAGACCCTCTGCCAGGCTTAAGTTAATTAAAAGGAAATAGGCTTAAAGGATTAAAGAAACTTCAACAAAACCTTGATAGTTATTTCTTGCAAAGTTAAGCAAAGGTTTGGAAATACTTTAATCTCATTAGAAAACTTTCCCCCTAGCAATTACTTACTTTATGGAGCTTGCATTCACCTGTAAGTTCACAAGGTCTCCAGGAATGTCAACATAGCAGGCACCTGGCCGACCATAAATACTGATTCTCACAGCCTAGATTTATTGCAAAATAGCAGGAGCACGTATTAGTACTTAAAAATCTTAATCTGCATGACTCTATTCCGTATGACTCTTTTAAAGTTATGAAATGAATAATTTTCTAAATTTCCTAGCTATCTCCTACCATATTAGTAATACAGGTCACATGCCTAAAATGAAAGGTCTTTGAAAGATAACAAAATACGAGTCTGCAATGAAAGAGAAAAATCATGGGTCACCGTTAGGTCATAGAAGCCAGATTTGGAGAGGAAATGTAGCCCGTATTTGGACCACACTGAAAAATGGAGAAAAAGTAGGTAAACCAGGAAGCTAGGGAGCACAGTGGAGGGAATGAAGGTTTTGGAATCTGGAAATCTGTGTGGACTGTACCTCAGATCCCATTAGCTAGACCTAGTCATGACGCCTCTCTCTGCCTCAGTTTCCTCATCGGTGTTGTTGTGAGAATCACATGAGTTAACATGTGCAAAAGCACATCATAAACCTGTAAGTGTTAATAAATGCTAGTTTAATTGTCAATGGGGAAAGAGAGGGAGGAAATAAGCATTTCTATAGTGCCTACTGTATACCAGGCACTGTGCTAAGTGCTTTACAAATATTTTCTCATTTGATCCTCACAACAAGCCTGTGACATAGGTGCTTTTAATTAACCCCATTTTACAGCTGAGGAAACTGAGGCAAACAAGTGGGAAAAACAAGGGAGAACATATTGAAATTAAAATTCCTCTCCAATGGTACTGTCTTTAATTAAAAAGAAGATCAATTTATATTACTGAGGTCTTAAACCTTATTTCCCATTATTTTTACTCTTAGAAATGACCCAACTGCCACCTGAACCCCAAGGTTCTACTGCCACTATGAATTCCTATTTTTGCCTCCAAACTAAAGGTTTTTGTTGTCTCCAGGGCTTGGGGAGCTGTGACTTGTCAACTCTGGCTCATTGTTTACAGTCAGCTCAATGTGGAATCCCACATATCAAGGCTGGTTATCGGCATTTCCCTTGTAAGGTGATATTTAAGGATTTATTATTTATCTCAACTGTAAAGGGTATTCCCAATATGGAAGATACAGCCAGGGACCATGGAAAGAGAAAAACATGATTTTTCATGTAGAATTTCTGTTTTCCAGTGCCTGCTATACTGTTTAGCTTCTTTAATCAAGATGAATAAAAAACATCTTTAAAATATGCAACAGGCAATTAATAGAATATGAAAAGTAACACAATTTTGAACTCTCTGGCAGTGGTCCTACTTGTTATATTTTACTAACACTTAGGGCTGTAACAACCAAGATTTCAAGCATTAAAAACAAATAACTCAAACATTATGGACAACTTATAATTACATACCCTACCTTTTCAATAACAAAGGGAATAGCTTCTATGCTGCTCGGTCTGACAGACAGCTTGCTGTATAACCTACAAGCTTCAACCTACATAGCGAAAAAAAAAGTTTCAAATTCAGTCTACAAACCACAACACTCTTCTACATAGAAACAAAATTAATAAACGTAAGTTTCCATTACAGGAGCAAGTTACAGAATGCAAGTGGCTAAGACTCAAATAAACAGTCAATATAGACCCAGGCCGCTTAAAGCTTTGCAGTCAGAGGGCCTGGGTTCAAATTCTGCTTTGTCACTTATTCCCTCCACATCCTTGGGCAACCATTCTGGGAATCAGTTTCCTCATCTGTAAAATAAAGGACTGGAACCAGAAGGCCTTCTGAAGTCCTATCCAGCTCTATAAAGAAGCAACAGTATTGTGTATTAAAGATAATTCATAAATAGGCAAAGAAGAGAATTGTGAATTCATCAAGTATTTCTACTTCTATAGAACTGTGTTTCTCAGAACATATAACTTAATCATGAGAAGTATAAAATACTATGAAAATATTTTGAAATTGATAGTGAGATTCTGAAATAGAATCAGGATCAAGGGTTCATGAAGTTAAAGAACAACAGACATTGGTGAAGCATGGATGTGCCCCAAGGTTTCATCCCTGCCTCTCTCCATTTCTCTCGACATGTTCTTTCATGGGTTCCACTATCACCCCAAGGCGGCTAAATGATACTGTGCATAAGACGCTGGACTTGGGGGTCAGGAAGACTTGAGCTCGCATCCTGCTCAGCTACTTAGCAGCTGTGTGACCCTGGACAAGTCACTTAACTTCTCAGCCTCAGTTTCCTTACCTATAAAATGAAGGTAATAGGTAACAGCCTCTACTTTCCAGGTAGTTGGATCAATGAGATAATATATGTAAAGCGCTTTGCAGACATTAAAGTGCTATATAAATGTTGACTATTACAATGAAGATAATTCCAGATCTACACATAAAACCCCATAAGCATGCTGGGCACGCTAATATCTCGATTTGTGGGTTGTTTTTTATTTTTGGCATTTTGTTATCTCATTTTTAAAGTTGTACTTTAAAAGTAAAATTAAATTGTTATTTTTTTAAAATTAATTTTTTTTGTTTCTTTGATAAATAAAAGCATTTTTTATGATTAAATATTCATTCAATGCTTGCCTTAAGAAAAATTCCTTGGGGATGTAAGCACCCAGATGAAATATCCTAGGCCTCAGCCTCTTTCCCAGATCCCAGTCTTGTAGCATTAGGAGTCTGCTGCACACCTCGACTTGGCTATCCTACCAGGCCCTGACACTTGTCATGTCAAAAACTGAACTCAGGGTCTTTCCCCTTAAACTCGCCCCTCACCCAGGCTCTTGACCTCGGTCATAGCCGACTCTTCCCCTCCCTCCCTCTAGTATCTCATCCGTCGCCAAGCCCTATCTCCTCTACTCCCACTTCCACTGCTCATCACTCTGTCACAGTTGTGCAGCCTGGCTCACAGGCCCATTGCCTCTCTACACGACTGCATCAGTCTCCTGCTTCCCCTCCTCCGATCCAACCCTTCTGCAGCTGCCCAAATGCAGAAGTCTGTCCTTCGTGCTTGGACTGATCTGCACAAAAACCTTTTGACTTTAGGCTAGTACGTAAATTACCTGTCTGTCATCTGGCTCTCACCTGCCTTCTCCAGCTTTATTTCAAATTAACAAGCAGCATTTGTTAAGTGCCTACTACGCGCAAGGACAACACAGACCCTACTCAAATGGCTTTGTGATCTCACTGATTTGGAGTCCCTTCAGTGACTCAGATCACAGCCCATCCCTGCCTGTTCATCCTGTGTGCCTCCTGTCCAGCTCCTCTCCTAAGTTCACCACAGGGTGATGACCACCGTGCTAGAGACTTCCTCAGTTTCTCCTGACTCTGGGACACTCGTCCTCTGTACCTGCTGGCCCTCCCCCTCACCACCAGCCTCTCTTCTCTTCCTAAATCACTCTATTTCCCCAATGACCTCTTTTACTGCTTTCTTCTTCAAAGTGCTTCCCTAACCATGGCCTGCTTCTGTCCACCACGTACCTTTCCAGGGCTCTCTGAATGATATTCATCTTTAATTCTCCAGAGACAAACTTCTTCCAAGTCTTGCAGCCATCCAGCAAGGCTGGTAGAGTTTTGGTGTTAAAAATACAGAACTTTGTGCCTGTGGGAAACTTGGAAGTATTAAAAAAGTCTTGCAGGTTCCTGAAAGCAATCCAGCTTGTTCTTGTCCTGTTTAACTGCACCTAACTCACCATAGTGCATAGTTCCTGAAAGCAATCCAGCTTGTTCCTCTCCTGTTTAACTGCACCTAACTCACCATAGTGCATCTGTCTTGCCTTCCTCAGACACACACACTGATAGACAAGGCTGCCTATCCAATGTATATCACAGTCTAGGTAAGAGATATTCTTGATCCACTTAGCCTTTCCTGTCTGGATGGCCATTACAAATCACTTCCAGGAGGCTCTGCAGTATTACAGGAGTTGACACATCCTTCATAAGGTCCTCCTTGTGAAGGCATCTGGAGGACCTCAGCATCCACACAGAATCCCTCTTCAACCTGGACTCTTCCATGGATCTTCTCTGTCATAGCCACAAACCCTCTGGAGAGCAGAGATCATCTTCTTCTAGGCTTCATCTGATATTTAAGATCAGAGACATTCAACAGGGCTACTTCTGGTATATCTTTAACGGAATTGCAGGCAGCAAAGAGATGTAGCAAAATATTGATCAGAGAGGAAACATCAGGGATTTGAAATCTTTTGGAATCCAAGGACCCCTTGTTACCATCAATGGTTCTTGAATTCCCCACACACAATAAGTTATACTATTAATATCAAATGATCAAGAAAAATACATAAGGTCAAAAAGTTACTGACTCCAGTAATATTTTAAAATTAAATTGTATTCTATTTGAACTTACGAGAACATCTACATACATCTAAAAAACACTTAACATACATACATGAAAGACACAATTTACTTGGTCCCCAAGAGATAGGTTCACTTATTTATGGACTGGTCTAACTTTCTGCATGGACTCCATTGTCCCCAGAGAGTCTGCAGCCCGGAGACAAGCAATGGCATCTACACATAACACTAAATTTTATAGTGAACGTCACATGGAGCATCTTATGTCTAGGTACCTGGGGAAACTCCTGGAAGGCTCCCATCATTTCTTGATTACTGTCAGAAGAACCACCAACAACAATCAGAGGCCTGAAATAAAAAATTTTAAAACAGAAATAAATTTCCTAAAATTCCCCCGAGTGGTTGATTTAAAGAGCAATAAAGAAGAGGGCAGGGTTTTGCCTTCTAAGACCTAGTTAAATACCTCGAACCCCTCTTCTTCCTGCAGGCCCTTCAAATGGTTAAAAAAAGATCTCATCTCCCCGTAAATTTCTCTTCTCCAACTAAGTAGCCACAGTTCCTCTGGTTTCTGGTCCCGTTGTCATCCAGAGTTTGCAGCGCACAAAAAACCACAGATCTTTTCATTCATATGTTTGTACAGCCATGTATCCCTCCTGCCCCGCTGCTGCACAATCCAGAAGTGCAGCGCTTTCCACTCATTCCTACTAGTCAGATCAGCTAGCTCCCCAGCTCTGTGTATTTGACAATTTTGATAAGCATGCCTTGACGAACCCGACAAGGCCAAGGGCAGATGCCAGTGCCACAACTCTAGGGACTTTCCTGCAGGTCAGATAGCATTTAGAACTAGACTCCTCCCATCTGAAAGATATTCCGTGCCCCTTCTATGCCAATTTTTTTTTCTTATTTTTATTGATCCTTGTTTTTACATCACTTTCATTTCCAAATATGTCTCTTTCTCTTCCCTTAACTAGAAAGTCATGGCTTATGGACAAAGATTAAAAGAGGGGAAAAAAGCAGTTCAGCAAAAATAAGCAACATATCAACCATGTCTGAGAGTATGTGCAACATCACCCCAACACAGCCCTCTGCCTCTGCAAGGAAAGCAAAAAGGCACATTCTCTCCACTCGCTTTCAAGGCCAACCTCGGTCACTATAATCCGAAATGGTCAGTTTGGGTTTCTGTTCTGTTTACGTGATCGGGGCCCCTGTGTACATCACTTTCCTGGTTCTGCTCACTTCACTCTCCATTAGCTCACATTTTCCTCTCCCTTTTTCGTTCTTGACTCCACCAGCTCTGTTTTCTAAGTGAATAGTCCAAAGCTAGAATGTTACTTCCTACCACAAAATCAATGATGCCACCAACATCTTCATTGGATTTAGAGATGGAAACATCATCGAGTCTAACCCCTCATTCTATAACTGCATCTTCTATCTATATCACTTTAACATCTCAGCTGGTTGATGAGTTTCTAGATGGGTTTCTTCATACTATGACTGCTTTGTTTCTCATCTGAACCACTGGCACCATCAACATTTCATTCTTGAGTTTTCCATCCCTCCTGGGAAGACTCTTATATGTAGCCTCAGAAATCCAGAATCCACTAGCTATCTTTACTCTGAATTATCTGAAATCTATTCTGGAAAAAAATAAAAGTGGCAACAATGTCCAGAAGTTAATGGACCTGTTTCGTCCTCGGTAAAATAAGGAGAATAAACTGGATCTCCTGAAGATCCATTCCTGTTCTCAGATTCTATGAAAAGACACCTAAGAGCCAGTTTCAGATTTATACAATATCATTCTAAGGACTTAAGGTACTCTCACACTCCCATACCCACATATGCACTTCAATTTCACTTCACAGTGATGATAAGATCAAAACACTGAAAACACCAAGATTTTCTGATGACCTTGGGTAAATCCCTTCCATACTCCAGGCCTCAGATCCCTCACAGATAAAAAAGGGAGAATGGAGGAGTCCTCCAGTCCCCAAACCTACCACCCCGTGAAGACCATGGTCAATGAGACTGGGAGTCTACTTACTTGATGAGGAGTTCTCTTTTACTAATCATGCAGTCACATTTAGTAAGGATAAAAAAAAATTACACGACTCTGAAAAGAAAGGTTAATATTTAAACTGAATTACCAACAGTTCATGTTTGCATTTGCCATTCCACCAAGAGCATGGATAAAACCTGGACCAGAAACCACAAGGCAAACTCCTGGCCTAGAAGAAAAACATCATGAATTAGAAGATGTGTTACTCTGTGTGTGTGTATACATATATACATACATAAGCATATACTGCTCTATAAATCTTAAAGTGCTATATAAATGTTAATTGTAATAATAACAATAATAAATCACTTCAGAAGTAAATACACAAATATCTGCAGAAATTTCAGAGGAATGGCATTCTAGGCCTTTTTCGGCCATATTTCTACACAATTAGGAATGAGAAAACCCACTGTAGCATGCGAATATGGTTACACTGATCAATAGGATGTACGTTCTTAGAGAACAGGAGGTTTCATTTTCCTTTTTGTATCTCAAGAGGCTCGCACAATGCCTGGCACCTAGCAGGCACTTAAATGTTGTCAGATCTCTTATTTCCCCTTTTTGGGTATATGTATCATTGTAATAAAACTTAAATTATCAGTACACTCTTGGGATCAGAATTTAAGAGAGATTTAGGACCTGTAATTTTACAATCTATTATGTGAGTATATTCAAATTCTGATACGATTCTAATGCAGCTAAATCAAGTACGGATTTGTGATCTGCAGCTGAACTTTCTTATGGAAGAAAGGAGTCACTGCTTATCAGGTAAACATACTGTTAGAGATCTTCTGGGCACAAGGAATTCTGAAGTGTAATGTGACCAAAGTCCCTTCTATGAGGACTGAGGGTTTCACTTGAGCAGGACACTGACACTGGGGGGAAGCAGAGGGGCAGAGTGTTGGCCTTAGAGTTGGAAAGGCCTGTGTTCAAATCCTGCCTCTTATGCTGACTTGTGTGACCTTTCCAATAATCAGCTTGCATTTATACAGCATTTTAATGTTTACAAAGTGCTTTATAGATATTATCTCATCTGATCCTCACAATAACCCTGGGTGGTAGGTGCTGTTATTATCACCATTTTATAGGTAAGGAAACCAAAGCTGAGATGGACGGGATAAGTGAGTAATGAGCACAGGCTCCCACTGCTAGGAAGTGAGGCAGGATTTGGATTTTAATTAGAAACAATACGTTCAACACTGAAGGATGAGGGGAAAAGAATTGTTAGTACAATTCAAATTCTATAATCAGAACGTTATTTTGCATTTATAAAATAACATCTCTTAAAGGTCTTGTGTAATGGAACCCCCAAGCAAACAAAATATCTCCACGTAGCTTATTCAGGTGGCAAAAATAATGAAAACTGGATCCAAGAGCATTGCAAGTGATACAGCAATTCTCCTTTCTGACCAATTCAATTACAAAGTGCTTTAAGCGCCCATGATGGGCAAGGCATTATTCCACAAAGAAAACCATGCAAGGTTACAACACACTGGGAATGTACAGCACATACAAGGTAATTTAAGGAGGGAAAGAACACCAACAACATAACGGGAGGAACCAATCAATCAATAAACATTTATTAAGCACCTACTCTGTGCCAAGCACTATGCTAAGTGCTAGGGATACAAAAAGAGGCAGAAGACAGTCCCAGCCCTGAAAGAACTCACAGACTAATGGGCAGAGAACATGCAAACAAATATATACAAAGCAAGCTGTATGCAGGAAAAATAGGAAATAATAGTTAAGACAGGGAAGGCACTAGAATTGAAAGGGGTTGGAAAAGATTTCTGGTAGAAGATGTGATTTTAGTTGGGACTTAAAAGAAGCCAGGGAAGCCAGTAGGAGTTGAAAAGAGAGAGCATTCCAGGCATGGGGGACAGCCAGCAAGAATGCCTGGAGCCAAGACATGTATTTTTTTGTTTGTAGAACTGCAAGAAGGCCTGTGATGGAAGAATATGTGTTGGGGAGTAAGATGTAAGAAGCCTCGAAAGTTAGGAGGGAGCTGGGTTATAAAGGACTTTGAATGCCAAACAGAGCACACTTTGTATTTGACTCTGGAGACCACAGGGAGCCACCGGAGTTTATGAGTAAGAGGGTGACATGATCAGACCTGAACTCCAGGAAAATCACTTTAGTGGCTGGAGAATGGAGAGGAGTAGGGAGAGACTTGGGGCAGGCAGACCCCCAGCAGTGATGGCAACAGTCCAAGCGTGAGGTGATGAGGGCCTGCACCAAGGGGGCAGCAGTGTCCAAGGAGAGAAGGGGGCAAACTCAAGAGATGCTGCAGAGGTAAAATCAATTGGCCTTGGTGACAGCTCAGATGTGAGGAGCGAGAGAGGATTCCAGTCTGACTCTTAGGTTGTGAGCCTGGGAGCCTGGGAGCCAGGGAGGATGATGATGCCCTCGACAGTAATAGGGAAGGTAGGAGAGAAGGAGGGTTTAGGGGAAAGATAATGAATTCTGTTTTGGGCATGTTGAGTTTAAGATGCCTACTGGAATCCAGTTCAAGATATCTGAAAAGCAGATGGAGATTTGAGATTGGAGGTCAGCAGAGTTTGGGGCAGGATAGACAGATCTGAGAATCCTAAGCTTCAAGTTTGGGAATTAAATACATGAGAGCTGATGAGATTACCCACTGAAGCAGTAGAGAGAGAGAAGTGAAAAGAGTGCCAGACAGAACCCTGAGAGACACCTAAGTTTAGAGGAGGACCTAGATAAGGAAGAAAGAGGAGCGGTCAAGCAGGGAGCAAGAAAACCAGGAGAGAGTGAAGCCCTGAAAACCTAAAGAGAAGAAAGTATCAAGGAAGAAAGGGTGATCAACAGCGTCAAAGGCTGCAGGGGGATCAAGGAGAATGAGGGCTGAGAAAAGGTCATGAGATTTGGCAACTAAGCGATCACCAGCAACTTTGGAGAGGACGGTTTTGGTGAAATGACATCAGAAGCTGGATTATAAGGGGTTAAGAGTGAGAAAAAGGTGGAGGCACCTATTGCAGATGGCCCCTGGGAGGAGTTTAGCTGCATGGAGCAAAAGAGATGTAGGACAATGGTAAGGATGGAAATATCCAATGAGGGTTTTTTCAGGATGGGGGAGATATGGACATGTTTGTAGGCAGTAGGAAAGCAGCCAGTAGAAAAGGAGAGACTGAAAATATGTGAAAGAGTGGGGATGACAGATGGGGGCAATCTATTGGAGGAGATGGGATGGAATAGGATCATTGGAACAAGTACAGGGATGAGCCTTGGTAAGGAATGAGGTCACTTCATCATGTGAGACAGGGGTGAGGGAGGAGACAGTGGCAGAAGGCAGCTGAGTGACAGGAGATGAGGAATCAGAGTAGGCCTCACTGATGTGGTGGTACCTGCACTGAGTCTATAAAGAAAGAGGCATTGGAAGGCGACGCACTTCATGCACGTAGGATGGCTGCCCACTGACACCAATTCTTGCAGACAAGTAACGTTTCCACTATAAAAACAGACATTAGTTTTGCTCAGTTAGCTATGGTTACCAACAATAATAAAATAGAAATGTTCACGTTACCTGCCTGTCAGGTATCCCACGGCAGAGGCAGCATAAGAAGCCTAAAAAAACAACAAAGGTACTCAAACATACTGGAACCAACTTAGAGCCATCGGAACTGCAATGCTGCCACATTCAACTTGAAGAAGTACACATCAGAAGGCCATTTCCACTGTTCCCCATGTTATGATCCTAGGCTTAGCAGTGAGCCTGGCACATAGTAGGTGTTTAATCAATGTTGACTGATGGACCGTCTGCTATTTCTTGTGAACTGAACTCATTTAAGTATTTCCTGCCAGTTTCTCAGCATTATAAGGCTGAAGTGCAGTTAAAATAATTTTTGAATACAACATAAAAGTAGGATGTTTACACATTTAAACTATGGACAAAAGGTTTCCTTGCCAAGTTAATTTCAATCTAATTTCTATTAGGAAACAACCTTTGGTCTAACTAAATCCTGCCTATCTGGAACAGGTTCGCTTTGTACTCTGTGAGTCTGGAAGCACATTTCTTCAAAGTCCTGTTTCTTCTCATTTATTTTCAGGGAAAACTAGCCAAGTAAGCTTTTGTCATCCTCTTACTGTCTATGATAATTTCAACACGTGGTAAATGTGCTTGCTGCCATTCCAGAAAAAAACAGAGTAAGCTGAACTAAGGAAATAAGGCCGTGCAAAGAATATTAAAGCCAATACGCTAAATAAACAGGCATGAACCCTCATCTTCATCAGTGTTTCAAGAGGAGGCCAACTCTGACTTCTATAAAAGTATCTTCCTATCTTGTGTTTTTAACAATCCCTCTTAACATTTAAAAACGTTTCAGATGAGCAAGTCTTCTAACCTTTCTCGGCCTGGGGCTGGGAGTGAAACACATCATGCCACATTATAACAACACACACACAACACACACTGAGAAGCAGCAGGTTTTGGTGGGAAGACATGAGACCTACGGTCAGGAGAGACTTTAGTTTCAGCTTAATGGCTGTGTGGCCACGGGCACCTTGGGGCTCCATTGGCTCGACTCCTTATCCTAACTATCTGATTAACTAGCAAGGTTAAATCATTTGTCTTTGGTCATACAAACAGTAACAGTGGCCTCTTCCACACCAGGCTGCTCACTCTGGGTCTCCTACTTCCCCACTGGACCATGGGTTCTAGAGGTGACCACTCACTTGTCCTACTCTGGGCCCCACTTTCCAACTCTGGCTCTTTATGTGTTGTTTCCCCCGCGAGAATGAGCGATGGAGAGTGGCAGGCCTGGAGTCAGGAAGACTCACCTTCATGAGTTCCAATGCATCCTCATATGCTTCCTAGCTGTGTGACCCTGGAGAAGTCCCTTAACCCTGTTTCCTCATATGTAAAATGAACTGGATAAGGAAATGGCAAAACATTCCAGCATCTTTGCCAAGAAAACCCCAACTGGGGTCACAAAGAGTTAGACGTGATTGAAATGAATCAACAACACAATCCCCTTTAGAACATATGTTCCTGGAGGGCAGTGACTGTCTCATTTTTTGTATTTGTCTCCCTCGTCCTGAGCAGAGTACCGAGCACTCAGTAAGGACTTAAAAAACGCTTTTACATTTATTTAGTCACAATGATGACAGTACTGAACTTTCCACAGGGTTGTTGTGAGGATCAAATGAGATAATATATGTAAAGTGCTCTGCATATCTTAAAAATATACATAAACGTCAGCTCTTACTGTACTCTGGAATTGGACAATAAGGGGAGGACAAAACCAGGGAGACAGAGTAAAATCATGGCATCATGGAAGCTGTGCTGGCTTCAGGGTTAGGAGGCCTAGGTTTGAGTCCCAGGGCTGACACACTTAGTTTTACTGCAAGAAAATCAATTCTACTTTCAGAGTCACAGCTCTTTCATCTGTCACACAGGAATAAGATGACTTGTACTATGTCCTGCTCAGATCTATACTTTTTTCGTCTTAATTTTTAGGCAATTGGGGTTAAGTGACTTGCCCAGGGTCACACTGCTAGTAAGTGTCAAATGTTTGATCTGAGGCTGGATTTGAACTCAGGTCCTCCTGACTTCGGGGCTGGTGCTCTATGCACTGCATCACCTAGCTGCCCCTTGATCTGTACATTCTGAAGAAAATATTTTTATGTAATATTTTTAGCACATCTGTGATTTCTTGGTGGAGGGAGTTACCAGAGGAGGACTACTGTTTATCAAGGAAGACTGGCCACTTTCTTGTGAGACATCTGCCTGAAGTACTGAGAGGTTAACTTGCCCTGGACCACACAGCAGGCATACATCGTATGGTCTGGATTCAGATCTTCCTAACTGCCTCCAAAGTCATTTCCCTATTTACCAGACTACATTTCCTCTCCTATAAACAAATGTAAATTATTATGATTGTTGGAACATAACATATAATAGTAAATTTAGGGTGGGAAAAAAGCAAAAAAAAATTGATGATGAACTAGCTTTATGATCATACAAAGATACCTTATTTACTCAAAAAATAAGTGTCCCTTATAGCTTTCAGACTTATTCATAGGATCACATACTTAGAATTAGAAGGACCTAAAAAATCATCTAGTACAACTTCATGTGACAGAGAGGAAACTGAAGTCCAGAGAGGCTAAAAGGTAGGAAGAGGCAGAGCTTGGATTTGAATCCAAGTCCTCCAACTACAAATCTAGGATTCTTTCCACTAAACCTTCAAAGGAAACCTACCTTCAGTGAAATTCCCAGCCATCTAATGGCTACTGGGAGCAACCAAGTGAGAGTGCTTTATTAAATGCTTGCTGATTGAATGATAGCTGCAAAGGCCTCACTCTTTTATAACAATAGCTCATAATCTATGCCCAACTCCTTCTGGCCATCACTGTCCCACTCAAAGGTCATCAGCACATGCTATAAACAGCCTGAGGTAGGAACATCTGTGGATAAGAGGCTAGCTCCTTAGCTCTTACATGCAAAATACAACCCACTCTCACTCCTTAGCTGTCCTGGAGTCAGAAATCAGGAAGATCCACGTCTCATATTTACTAGCCGTGTGACCATGGGCACATCACTTGATTTTCCTGAGCCTCAGTTTCCCCATCTGTCAAAGAGTGTTAATAACTATAATTCCTCCCTCATAGTGTTGTTGTGAGTTTCAAATGTGAGAATGTTATGGCAAAAGCTTTGCAAAGTTTAAAGCACGACATAAACGTCAGAGTTGGTGCTGTTCTTATTCTCTAAACCAAAGGCACTCTTAATGTGGGGTCTGTTAACTTGTTTTTAAAAAATATTTTGATGACTGTGTGTCAATCTAATTGGTTTCCTTTGCAGTCATCTATGACTCAAGCACTCTTTTTAGAAGGGACTCGCAGGCTTCACCAGATGCTGGTAGGCCTGTGACCCCCAAAAGGCCCCGAGCCTTCGCCTGCCTTCTCATCCATCGCCTTGCCTTCTCGAAAAACTTACACAAAGTGTTGGATTTAGGGTCAGAGGACCTGAGTCTGAATCCCACCCTAGACAATGGACTGTGTGCCCCTGGACAAGTCCCTTCCCTTCTCTGGTCCTGTTTTCTCCTCCCTAAAAATGTCACCTCCTGTGGCCTCAGTTTCCTCCTTTGTAAAAAGTGAGGTGGTCAGACCAGGTGGCTCTGCCACTTTAAGATCCCATAACTTGCCCAGGTTTCAATCTGCTCAGAAAGGAAGGCTGGGGGCTGTCCCTGATGACCTAGAGTGACCCTGAGAGGGAGCTAGGGTGGGGGGCTACCCCCATGACCCACAGTGACCCTGGGGGCAGGGGGGGCTGCCCCCATGACCCAGAGTGACCCTGAGGGGGGCAGGGTGGGGGGATGCCCCGATGACCTGGAGTGACCCTGGGGGGGGCTGGTGGGGGGCTGCCGCTCGCCGCGCCCCAGGCCCACACTCACCGCCTGCTCGTTCCTCATGCCGATGTACTTGATGCCCACGGCCTGCGCGGCCACGGCGATCTCGGTCACAGGGATGCCCACGATGCCAAACATGTAGTCCACATTCTGGAGGAAGAGGACAGGCGCTCACCGGAGGCCAGGGCCGGGGCGCTGGACCCCTCCTGGCTGGGCACTCTGGGACTCAGTTTCCCCATCTGGAAAAGGAGGACCCTCCGGCTCTAAGCCTAGGACCCCCACTACCCGTGGTGAATTTTCGAGTGACCCCCCCCCCCACGGGCTCGGCCCTCCGCACGTGGGTCACTCTCACCTGTTTCTTCAGCGCCTGGGCAATGACCTCAGCGCCGGACACCGTCTCTTGGTCCTCGCGGTTCCCTGCTCCCCTGTTTGAAGCCATCTTCCCTCAGGTGACGGCTGGGCGGGGAAGGGAATCCAGCGCCTTTAAATCCTCCTCCCTTCGCCTCTGACCCTTCTCCACCAATGGCCAACACGCTTCTTTGTGACTGACAGGAAGACCAACCAACTATTCGGGGAAGGGGCGGGGCCACGGGCTTCCCTGAACTGGATGTCAACAGGCCCTTTGTCCAGTCAGAACTCAGCTCTCCTAGAGGGCCGAAGTCCTCGGGGGCGGGACAGGGGGCGGAGCTGAGGGTGAGGAGACATGGCTGACTTCTTCGTGCCGCACAGGTAGGTAGGGGGAGGGGGGTGGTTCTGGGCACGCGCGCGTCTTCGCGCGTCAGCCTCCGGAGCCTGCCGCTGCCTCGCTGCGGCAGCTGCCGTGCGAGGGGGGCGCGCGCGTGCCGGGGTCAGGGAGAGGAGCCTGCCGGCCTTCCCCAACCATCAGACGCTCCGAGCCCCGGCTGGCTCCGCCCCCTTCCCCGGCCCGCCCTGCCTGCCCGCCTCCGTGGTAAGTTCGCTAATGGGAGCCCGCCGTGCGGGATCCGCCCCCCTCCTCCCTCCGGGCTGTCCCTCCTCCATGGGCGAGCGCCGCCTGAGCTCGGCGTGCCTCGGCCGCTAGGGGGCGGCGTCAATGAGGAGCAGGACCTGAGTGAGGAATCTGCGCCAGTCACTTCAGAGCTCGGTGGCTCTGGCAAAGTCGCGGAACCCCCCTGAGCCGCAGATCCCTCCTGGGCATGACGCGGCTAACAACGGCGCCCTACCCCGATGGAGTGCAAAGCGCTTTGCGGACCTTACACATATCTGTAAATGATGTGACGACAGCCGGCATTTATGTAGCGCTGACTGTGTACCGGGCACCCTGCTCGTTTGTGACGAAACTGCGGTTCACCCAGTAAAGTAACTAGCATTTATGTAGCGCTGACTGTGTACCAGGCACTGTGCTATAATAATAATGATAG